GCTACAAAGACTGATCATTTTATGTAAGTCTTGCAAGTTATTTTATGGTAAGAAATTACTGCCAATCCTGCAACTTTTTAAAATTTATTAGAATGTAAATGTACTTACCTCCAAACCTTTCCAGCATATTCTGTACTTCACCCCTACAAAACAGTGTTTAAAATTTTTATTTGCCCATTTTCTGGCTTTAGAGTAAGACCTGTTTTATATGCTCAAAACTAATTTTATTCATGTGTCTATTACTTGTAAGCAGTCACAGAGCTGCTACTGCTCTACAAGATAAAATAATTATACTCCTTTTTTACCTCCTCTGAGAGGTCCCTTTTTCAGACTGATTTGCTTGTTTAAAAAAAACCCACTAGAATCTATTAACTTACTCCCGAGTAAAAAGACACTATTAGGCATGTAAGGGGTCTTGAGTGAGGGCATTCAGTAAATAAAATTGATTATTCCCTAGACAAAAAGAAAACACAAAGAGTATTTGGAACATCAGATGAAACAAGTCCATCCCAGGTAGCATAACTGGCACAGTAAGAAAAATTCAAGACAAATAATATCAAAGTTGTTTTTACAGCACCTTTTAGGATCATAACACCAGCGTGTGAGGCAGTGGTACAATACAGTAAAAACAGTATCTTCAACTCAACAGCTGTAATCTCCTACAAAACTATTTCAGCATACACTTTTTTATTACATTTACATTGCTCATAATTATTAAATTTAATAAGATTTATCTGTAAAAAGATTTCATTTTTCATGCAATATTTGGATCGTTCAAAGTACTGGTAATATCTTCCAGCAACTAAAATCAGAGGAAAAAATTAATGGAATTTGATTAAATTATCATCAATTTAGGACAAAACTGAAATATTTTTTAAAAGAAACAAATATTTTAAGAACTCACACAAATATATCAAATTTTCATGCATGTTCAAAAATATCTACAAAGAAACTGCAGAATTACTAATTTTAAAATACTACATTTTCTTTTTTTACCTACGACTGCTTTATTGTCTGCCGCTTGATTTTTGAATCAAATACTAACCAACCCAAAAACAAAGAAAGCAAAACAAGCATAGTGGATAACTGAAATTGGTATCTGCTTGCTTATTTTGGAAAACAACCTCCAAACTCCTAACCTTACCCCACATCATCTGGAGCCACATGAGTAGTCGCCAAAGGTCTTTTCTTTCCGTGCTTGTCCATCACTGGTGTGTCGCCTTTAGAAAAATTATAGAAATAGTTACAAACATAGCTTCTATTTTGTGCAGGTGGTTTGAGTTATTACAAGTTTGATTACTTTTCTGTAATGTCATTTTTCTGAACATGTCTCACAGGTTGCAATTCCCATCAATAACACATGCAGCTTTAAAAAGCAAAATCACAAATATATATTTATATTATTTTGGAAAAAAAAAATCCTTGGCTATCAGATTTCTGGTAATGGCAGGGATAAGTGGGACAGGAATTTAGTCTAAACAAATGAAGTGGAGAAATTAATATATATATATTCCTCTTACCAATCAAAATCACGCAGTAGGAGGTTGATTGTCTTAAGCATTATAAACCCTGCTTGCTCAGACATTGGCTGACACAGAAGCATCTTTCCTTCTATTCACAGTCAGAGATATGATAAACTTCAAATTTTAAAAATGTGCTAAAAAGGGCACCTTCTCTAATATCTTCCTCTGATCCACTCAGTTCTTTTCTATCCTCCTCAAAGTCATAAGCAGGTAGGGTCTGTTCTTCTGGTGCTGGTTTACCAGCTTTCCCTCCATGCTTTCTTCCTGAGGGTGCCATAACGAGATCTTTTCCTGCTGAAACAGTATATTGTATTTGTTACATAACATTCCCCACAATAATTTGAAGATAAATGTTTTCATGCTTACATGGACCTGTCATGGATACCTCTGTAACAGTCTCCAGAATATGTAAGAATATGTAAGCAATCAAACTGTTTTAGTTTTGAGGTGTTCCACAGCATTACCCATCAGGGGTGTTTTAAGAACTCAGTAAAAAAGAATATGCCAGGGCTAATAGGAACACACTTGATTCTGCAGAAAAGGAAGTAAATTATCCATTTTCTTAAGGTGCCTGCCTGCTTACCTTCCATGTTTATTATACATTTTGTCATATCCAGTCCTGCATTTCCCAAAAGCTATGTCACTATTCTATTTTACAAAATATAGATATGGCAAATCATAAAGAACAGTATGATTCTACAAGCCATTTTTAAAGGTTCTGGGCAACTTTCAGGTCCTGAACGATCTTTCTTTATAGCTATTATACCTCTGCACTCTGTAATGTAACTAATGCCATTTCTACGTTGGTAAACATTTTATACATGCACTACCCTCTTAAAACTATTAATTGATTTATTTTCATAATACTAATTTTTACATATTCTGTGTATTTTTATAAATATTCAAGGAGAAAAATATCTATTTAGAAGAGAAAGAGCATACTTGTAGTCACTAGATGCATGAGTGATGGAATATTTTTTTCCTTAGCATTTTATCAGCAATAGAAATAATATACAAATACAACAGGAAATAGAAAGCTACTGAATCCTTGCTGAAATATTTCTTCTTGTTATCTTTTTCTGATTGCAAGAGCTATGAGGTATTTCAAGTTGTGTCACATAACATTTCCTTTTAAAAATTCTTCAAAAAATAACAGGATTCCTTTGAAGGTGGAAAGATATCAGCTGCTAGTACCCTGTTTTCCAAACTGAGCAAGACATGACTCAGTAGTGGGTAAACTTCTCATTCTAGGCACAATTCAACACAGCTAGAAATATGTAGGTTTTCCACAAGCCAGGGCACAGATAGATCTGAAAATTAAGTTCACACAGTGAAACTGGGAACTCCAGCAAATGTCTTTTGAATTTCCATGACTGTGAAGTCGTCCCAACATTAACAGCTCTCACACACCTGAGTTTCCTATTTCTGTTTGTTTTTTGTTTGTGGTTTTTTTTAATTATTTGTCCATAGTTGTGAAAATATTTTTTAACCACACATTACACAGATCTATGGAACATGACCACAATTAGTTAAGGAACACTGCTTTGTAAGACACAGCTTTTTCTGAGGTTGATACTTCTCTCTGTGGTATGAAGATTTTTAGACCTTGCAAGTGTCTTGGAAACAAAAGCAAAACCTCTTTAGATTATTAACTGGAAGAATCAAAGAAGTCCTTGCATTAACATTATCCTCAAATGAGAGAGAATTTTCAAGCCTTGATCTGCTTTTCAACTACTGTGATTGTTGAAAACACGATGTGAGGAGGAGAGTCCTGGTGCAGCATCTGGCTGCGCCTGTTTCTGGGCTGCCGAAGCACTTCAACATTTTACTATTTTATAGGACGTATTTTATCTGACACACAGACGCGCTTTGTCCTGAAAATCAGTTTACAAAGCAGGACTCCCCAGCAAACCCCCACAGGCGTAAAAACAATCTCGCCACCTCGCAGCCCTCGTTCCATCCTGTGTGCCTGTTTTGGCCGATTGAAGGATCTTCAACCCCGAGCAGCCTATTTTAATTACTTTTTTTTTTTTTTTGAGAAACCTCTGTTTTTCACCCTGCCCCCTCAAAAAAGACATGAAACAAAACGGTTACTTCTGTGAATCTCCTAGGCGGGGCTTTTCACCGCGGGGACGCACCTGCCTCCGCCTCAGAGCGGCGGGGGAGACTCGGGCCCGCAGCCGCCTCACCCTGAGGGCACCCGCGGGCGGCAGGGACCGGGCGCCTCGCACCTCCCGCCGCGGAGGGAACTCCGCTCGCCCCAAGCCCCTCTGTGGCCCCACAGCCCTCACGTTCCTCCCGCGGCTCCCCCAGGCGACAAAGGCTGACGGGGACAGCGGGATGCGGTGCCGCCTCAGCGCTGCCCACACCGCCCCGGGAGAAGGCGGGAACGCGGGCGGGGCGCGGCAGGGACACACACGGCGCTCCAGGGCGCCCTCAGGAGCAGGGGGCGGGCCGGGCCGGGCACGTCGTGCTCATTCGGCATTAAACTCGTTTAAAGCTCACCTACCTTCACCTGTTTCTTCACTGAAATGGCTTTAATTTATCATTCAGATAACAAAAAGCCGTCAGAAAGTATTCTGGTGGGTGTAGCTAGGGTACGGCAGCACAGGAGGATTTTTCCATAAATCACTGCAAACATGCCATTATTTTTCTGTAACGTTTCAGGTTTCAGATTTTTCTAATGTTCTCATTTTCTGCCCTCAACCAGTTAAGGCATTTGTTTTTTTACTTATGAAAACCAAATACAGAATCTAAATTAAAGAAGAATCCTAACGCTATTTCAATTTCCAATGTTCTCATCAACCCCAAACACTTGAGAAATTTTACTTGCTACGTCCTTGACCAAGCTTAAGTTTTCCTTGGGTCTGCCTGGGGAGGAGTTGACTTTCCTCACCGCAGCCCTGGGGGTGCTGCAGGGCCTGCACAGTATCCCAGGTCTTGCTCTGTCCCTGTCCCCCCAGCCAGGAATTCAGTGGGAAGGTGGGACACACAGCTGGGACAGCTTTCCTTAATGAAAAAGGAACTGCAGTGAAAACTGAGCTACCTATACAATTATTTACACATAACTTCATTAGGAAAAACCGCCTTGAAAATTTCAGCCAAGTTTTCCCAATTATTTTGATTAGAATGGCAAATATAATAATAATAAAAAAATCCTAGTCAAACTTGAATATACCTAATATTTTCAAGTGTAAGAAGTTATAAAAGCTTTCTTATATCTCTTGAAATGTCTCATTTTCTGCTAGGCTGATGTACTGCAGATTTAAACTACTTCTTTATATTCTACATTTTAGCATAATACATAGTGCTAGCATGAAATATAACCCCAATAATTATAAGTGCTTACATTTTTTTAGTGCTTAAAAGTTTGATTCTACTTCAAGAACAGAATCATGCTTCAAAATAATCCTAAATTACTATAGTTGTAAGGTTAAGAGAAAAATAATATAAGGATTCATACACATTACTGGCTAATTTATCAAAATGGGTGAGTTTTTGTTTACTTTAAAATAGAAACAACAGACAAAACTTTCATCACATTTTAGTTAATTTCAAAGCAAACCAAGTATCTTACAATACATATTCACATACATTTTGTACATCATCTGATTACAAAAATTAATGCTTTTTTGAATACTGTTAACACAATTAACTGAAGATACACCGCCAAAAGTTTCTGCTTGAAAAGATTCAGTACCCTTTCCCACATAAAACGACATTACTCTGATGTCCCAGCAAAACACAGGGCCAAACCCTCTTTTTAAATTTAAAAACACCAAAGCTCTGTATATCAGTACAAATATTGTTTTCCAAAGTGAAACATTGCTCCCAAACTTTTCTACTTTAGAAGTTTGTTACCCATTCATATAGAGAGGCACTTTTGCTTTTATACTTACAATGCTTGTAAAATATTATTCCTTGATCATTTTCATTTCATTACAACCCTCTCTTTATAATCAAGGCAAGAAATAACATCATTGTATTCTTTGGAGTAGAATACACCAGATATAAAATACCTTTCAAATAACCATTAGATGTTTTATTACTGTGTAATTTTTTTATTAGCATACATTTCTTCCAAATCCCAGTTAAATATTACAAATAGGGAGATGAATTGTCACTGTGCTTTAAAGAATGTCAACATCTATAAATGTATACTAAATTTAAATGACAAGTCACATAATTATCAATTTCCCCATAGGTCTAAAAAAAGCAGCAATGACAGAAATTTGCAAAATGCTTTGGAATGCAAGACCAAGGACTTGTTAGGCTGATCCTAAATAACATTTCCTTCCAACATTTTATCTTGTTGGCAATATCCACTGCAATAAATGCAGTTACATTTGTTTAGGTAACCCTTTTTATAAAAAAGGATAACATGGCCATGGAACTAAGAGTCATAAAATAAGATCTGTTGAAAACTGCCTATGCACAGGTTTCCTGCAATTATTTTTTGTTATTTTGCGTTATCACAGCTCCAACAGCTTTTATATCATGAAATTACTGCAGAGATTCTAACTCTAGATGCATGATTTTTTTCTTCATATCAACGTAGCTAAATGTTAAACCAGAAAAGACACTTATGAAAGAAAGATTTAAAATGCCTAATCACATCTTGAGGTAGACTGATCTCCAAAATAAAGCTCTTCTACACTTTGATTCGTTCATGACCAGCTTCTTTTTGGATCCTTCTCCTTGGAAAAATCTTTCGTTTAAGTGCAATTAGCTGAGGAGAGAAAAAAACACAATATGTAGTTCTCTGCTGGGCTAAAGGTCCACAGCTGGTCAGGTTTTCACCCTAGAAACTATAAAATCTGTACCATCTACAGTAATTTAGTCAATACTGTACTTTTTTTTTTTCATTGCACAGGAAAAACATTTTTTGCTCAAATTCATCTATTAGGTCTGCAGATTTCCACTGGACTTCTCAAAAATCAGAATACAAGCAGAAAGTATGCCTATATTCTGGTTATTTTAAAGGAAATTTGTGTATTAAAATTAACACTGGGCTACATTCAATTTCTAAAAGATCAACACAAAGCTGGCATCTTAAAACAGCATTTATATTCCTAACTGTAACACTGAGTTGAGTGTCCCCTTCCAAAACCAAGTTACTAATGGAGTTTTCTAATAGATACAAAAGGCTGAAAATCAAGGGAAAGAATCATGCAAAAGTTACAGGTGGGAAAAAAATAATAATCAAAAGCCAACCTTTCAAGAATTACACCCTCTTCATCAGACCACGGAAAGTGTTACTTAAGGCCCCAACCTGCAAAGAATTACCCATATGATTTGTTCCATTGACTCCCTCTGAGTTTAGCAGGACTAATCATGTTTAAGAAAGCCATTTTAAGCTTGCAGAAGTGGCATTTTTTTTCCTTCGAGTCAGATTAAAAACCTTTTGAATTCAATAGGAGTCTTTGCAATTATGTAGGGAAGAAATTTTGAAAAGATTCTCTTCAGGACTACAGTATTGCTATTACTTAAGTTCCCTTTCTGTTAATTTACTTTGCACTTTTACCAATATGTATGTTAATAGACCAAGAATTTCAAAAACAAGTACTCATTTTAAGCTTCCAAATTTAGCATACTGATTATGAACTTGACAGTCACAAGGCACCTGAGAAGGGAATACCACTCTTTCCCCCCATATGACTCTCTTTACAAGGACTCTCAACATGATGACTTAAAAATTGAAGCAACCTAATCATTATTCATATAACACCTTTACTTCTTCCATGAAGAAAAAAATCCTAGCTACTCTTCAAAACCTATTTAAAAGAAATCTATTTGATGTTATCCTGAAGATTCCACAATCTGTTAAGCATTATATAAATTTGATAATACATTAACTTTACCTGTTCAGCAAAAAATGAGATGACTGTAAATACAATAAGTGTTACTAGAACACAATGGGTCCAAAATTTGAGCTTGTCTCTATATGCCCTCCTGGACAAGGAAAGAAGGAAAGAGAAAAACAGTTTCATATATTATAAATCCAAATTTTCAAACTTTAAAGACTTTCCACTAAACATGCAAAGAGAGTTTTTTCCAGGACTTAAAGTCCAACCATTATGCGAACACTGCCAAGTCCACCACTGAAGCACATCCCCAAGTGCCACATCTACACATGAAATGTTTCCCATGAAATGCTGGACCAAAATGATCTTTTGAGATCCCTTCCAACCTAGGCTGTCCTCTGATTCAGAAAACATTTTGATTTCCAGCAGCACTTCAGCATGCTTTAACCCATCCTGGTAGGTTCATCTTTGACTACAAGCAATTCAAATTGTCTTTCTGAAGCTACGAAAAGTCTTGATGGAGGTTCTCAAAAAGGGAGTCAACAATATGTCTATTCCTCCAGTGCCAATTTCTAAAGCTAACTGCTGAAATGGGTTTGCCCCCTGCTCCCTCTGCCACTATGATCCCCACCTGTTCTTGTCACCTACAATCCTTCTGATTCCTTCCACAGTTCCTCTAATATTTTATCTTTCCTTATTAATGGTTATTTTTCATAATGCGCTGATCAGCAACAGATTTACTATATTAGACTTGTCTCATTTCTGTCACTGTACTTGTCAACCTTTTGCTTGTATTCTCCAGTCGACTACCCCAATTTCTGAAGTTATTTATAAAATGGCAAGAGATACACATAAGTCTCACATTTCATGTACAAATGAGACACACATATATCTTTTCTGATTATTATCCAGATGGTTTGGTGTTTTTTAACATTTAAAGAAACCCATAATTCCCAAATTACCTAAACAAAACAACACTTTTTCTTTGCAGTAGGTTAGGGCCAGTTGATCAAATATTAATGACAATTTAAGCACAAGGAAAACTCAAATCCTGCAGACTTCAAATTTTAGTCTATTCAGATCTTTTTCACTGTTAAGTCCTTCATGACAATAACTTGAAAACAACTTGTGTAACATACCATTCTTGGAGTTCATGCATGTGAAGGAAACGATTCCGATATTCTCTTGGCAGTTCAAATTGGGAAGGTATGGGAAACATTGATTCATAAAAATCCCTAAGCACTGCTTTCACTGTTTGAGCATCCTTATGATTGTGATCAATATTGTCATTTAGGCAAACAAATTTTCTAGAAAACAAGACGAAACTGTTAGAATATTTCTTTAGTAATATGGCAAAGGTATTGGCAACCCAATAATACAAACAGAATCCTTTTTTGATAAAGTATCCTTTTAAGACCAAAATGATCTATTTTTTATTGTTGCATTACTTTAAATTAATTTGATTTTAATTCTAAGAGAGTAAGGTTGACAGCAAGTCAAAACCTCTGAGGAATCCAGTGATAGGCCACATTTCTCTCTTCCAGTTATATAATGCTGCCATCTAATGGGCACCAGTGTATGCCCATCATAAACAGCATTATGACTTGTGTAAGGATTTTTATAGTTTTAAATTATCACAAGTACCTTAAATAACAAAGTGAGCTCCACTGTAGGAGATAAACATACTCAGTTAGTAAGATTTTACTGTGTATGCTGCATTCTTTAGAAAAAGTCAACATAAAAAGTATGGAAGATTGTATAAGAGAGGGTAAAGCTTGGTCCCCAGGCTTTGGATTACTGAGAACATTAAATAAATTGGACAAGACATGGCTTGAATCACAGATCCAAGGTTAGACTTGAATAATCAACCAAAATACAAATTACAACAACCTGGATAGAATTTATATGGAAATCACTGTGACCAAATAAGCACATGCCCAGTAATGCCTCTTGCAGAGAGTTATTTCTTACATATGAAACATACAACTATTTAAGTTACTGCAAAAAAATTGAAACTAAAGGAGCAGTTAGTGTGCTAGTCTGTTGTGTACCCTTGGCCACTCTGACCTGGTGCTTGACAACAAAAATTCCGTTTCCCACATATGGGCAAGGTTATGTGCTTTATTTATATTGTGAGATACAAGACCCCTACATTTTCCCCAGAGGCAGAAATCATATCTGGTGACATATGCCTTGTCATTGCTAACCTTTGTAAATAAGTAGTTCTGGTCAGCTGTATTCTCTATAGTATGGTATGCTCTTTCAAAGAGCAAAGTTCAGACTTCCTACATGAGGCTGGAAATAAGCAGAACCCTATAGCATGTGTAGCAGCCCACACAGGGAATTACCACTGAATGGTAGTGTATTGAATCTGGCATAATTGTTAACCTCGCTCTAGACAGTTACGTGCAGGGGATAAACAGTCATTCGAATTGTTACATCTGAGAAGAACAAAATACGCCTCTCCAAAAATGAGCAGGCTCTATCTACCCTATCAAGTAATACCATGCAAAGCAGCTGGTTATGGCAATCATGTCTACACTATAAGCTATTTGGGAGTTCACTCTGGACTATCCCTGACCTTGTCCATTGGACTGGCAGCTCATTAGCCCTGGGAAGGCAGTAGCTGCACTCCTGGAGTATATATCCCTGTTTAGCTTCATCTAAAAGAGATGCAGTTTACAGACAGAGGTTGCTACACACAGCAAACCAAACCACAGTATGTGGGAGTGATGAGGATATTAGCCTGTTTCTAATGGAAAGACTGTTTTAATCCATTCAAAAGAAACTAAACATGACATTCTTCTGGATATTTCCAAATTAATGCCTAGACAATTAATGCTCACTTTGCCTTAAGGATGCAAACCAAACATTTTAGGCAGATCAGTAAGTGATTAGTTCATTCCAAGACAGGCAACAAATGCCTGTTTTTAGAGACTGGGGGTAATTACTGGTTTATATGCAATGAAAAGATAGTAAAGAGAAGGAAATGGCATGCCTACATAACTGTGCCAGCTCTCCTTTGCTAACAAGGTACAACTAGAGTACTGCGCTATATCTTGCAGGAATACAGCCCAAGAAATTGACTCAACCTCACTTCATAAACTTGAACACTGAAGGTGAGAAACTCATGTTACCTGCCCTCTTTGGGCCTGACAAGGCTTGAAATCACACCTACCTTGAAAAAAAACCCTCCTAGCCAGCAGACAAAGAAATAGAGAACAAAGGGAAAGCAGAAGGATGAGCTAGAGCACTGCCTACTTTTCCTTTGAAAGAGGTCATTGTGGAAACTGGAATTTAGGAGTTATGTGGCCAGAAGGCACTCTTGTAGCAATAGATACAAACCACCTTAAGCTGAAAAATGTCTCAAGACTAGCATTTCCCTTTCTGAATGAATGACCTAGTAAAAGCAGTACAGTATGAAAGGAAAGTGAGAACCTGCTCTCTATCTATAAATACAAATAATGGTGTAGTGTTAAAGGCACCTGAGATTACCCAATAACTTGCTGCGACCAAAGGAGGTTTCACTTTCCCTGGCCCAAGGTACCTGGTTCTATGTTTCTCCTTGCTCTGTCTTTTGACACTTGTCAGACCCCTTCTTGAGGCCAAACTCGTTAAACTGGCAGAGAACTCTGGTTTTCTAAAGACAGAAGCAAGAGAAGGAAGGAGAGGAGAGAAGTGGAGGCACCTGTCCCACTTCTAAGACAGTTAGCTACTAAATTATCTCACAGTGTCTTCTCAACCCCCAGTTTTATGCAGCGGACAGGTCTACAGTTAAATGCTTCTGCAAAGAAGTTTCAGGCTCGAGTCCCAAACATAGCACACTTTGCTTTGCAAGGTGGTTGCTGTGAAATGTATTCCAGGACATAGATTTTCTCCATTTACCTCACAGTCATTTCAGAAGCCTAAGTCAACACTACAGACTCTACTCTCAGATTTGAGTACCTAAACCTCTTACCCCTCCAGAGTAAAAAACAGAGGACTACCTTCCAGCTTTTACTTGTTTCTCATCAAATATTAAGAAATAAAATAATATTAATACTTCTTGCCATATTGTAAAAGAGCATGAAAGCACAACGAATACACAAAACTGATTTTGTAACAAAATAATACACACCTAAGTTTTAGTATAAAATACCTACACAAAGCAGATTCAAAAGCTCTTCCTTTAACTGGCTACAATATAAACTGTGTGTCCTCTAAAATGGCAAAAATGAAAGTTTCAAAAATAGCTGAAGTTTAAGTTTTCAAAGACTTTAGATATATCAAAATATAACAAATTACTGAGATAATTCTTAACATAACAGAGAGGGGAGTCACTTAGCTTCAGTCAAACAGAAAAATTAGAAGTACTTTTGGTTCAAATCAGGCTTAGCTTTGTTTAGAAATACATGACAATAAATTATTCTTTCAACACACAAAAAGTTTAAACAGTCAAAGCAGAAAATTAAAACCACCTCACAACTTCATCACAAAAAAATCACAAAACAGGATACCTGGGATTTTTTCGTATGTCATCCAGCTGACCAACTACATGAGAAACATTTGTGCGAATCATTTTGAAGGCAATTTCCTCTTCTCCCATGATTTCAAACCTTAATGTTAAAATAATAGTTATACATTAATAAAACAACCTGAAGTCTAGTTCAATAAATACTAATCTTGAATTTAACATAACTTAGTAACATTTCTAATCTGACTAGCCAATCTTCATTACAATTTGCCATTTGCTTTCTATCAATATATTTACATTTTCTGGCCACTGCTCTTGCACAGAATCACTTTCCTGTAGATTTATTAGTAACCACCAATAAATTGAAGATCTGAATTCTAACAGAAAGTATAAAAACTATGAGCATCTGACCCCAGGTTAACAGTCTTACTAGCGGGACTACACTTATATTTTTTACCTTTCTTGTCTTGATATAAGAAAACACCTTGCTGGCTCCTTGAAGTCTCAGTGGAAACAACATAATCCGTTTATAAAGATCACAAAATTAATATAATCATTTAGCACATACCCTAATGATATAAAAACATTACCATAAGTCAGTTTAAGTACAGCAAATCCTTGCCCCCCATTTTTCAATCTCATTTGTTGGTCAGCTTTTCAGTTTTAGCAGAAACTCTTCTGGGAAGGGAAATAATTACAAAGTTTACAGCACAACTGGATGTTCCATAAATTAATGTATAACAACACCCAGAAGTGGTCCTAAGCAGCATCTGTAACCTTCTTTCATTCTACAGAGTTTTTAGCCACTCCTGGGGCAACCACGTGTGTGAGAGACCACCCGGCCCTGCTCAACACTGCTGGTGAGAACAGGAGCCAAGGCTGTAAGCTCCAGCCAGCAAACAGCCTCACTGGCCTGCAATTGTTTGCAGGTTTCATAGAGTCACAGAATATGCTGAGCTGAAAAGGGCTCATCAGGGTCAAGTCCAACTCCCAGCCCTGCACAGACACAACATGTGTCTGAGAGCATTGTCCAAACACTTCTTGAAATAAGACAGGTTTGGTTCTGTGACCACTTCCCTGGGGAGCGAGTTCCAGTGCCCAATCACCCTCTGGGTGAAGAACCTTTTCCTGATATTCAACCCAAACTTCCTCTGACTCAGCTTCATGCCATTTCCTTGAGTCCTGTCACTGATCACGAGAGGAAAGAGATCGGTACTTGCCCCACAACTTCCCATTTCAGAGAAGAAATATTTAAGAGAACCTGATCTCAGTCAAATCTCTGCAGATACAAGCATTCAAACAAATGTATGGTCACGATTGTGTTTGTTCTATCCTTTTCCAAGGGGGATGGAACAGTTTTTCTCATCCGTCTCCTTCCCTACTTCTCATTCCTCCTCCTCCTCACAGGAAAACAAGGTAATTAAGTCTAAAACGCTTTTTCTGTTCTCTTTTTCATGCTTCAGTAGGAGAAAGGATGAAGTAGATTTACAACTTCTAGGTACAGGACCAGCTCTGTCCTCCTGTTTATGCTACTTTAACTGTCCTCACTCATTACACACAGTGAGTTTATACAGCCATCTAAACATACTCTAGCTTACTATTGTACAACACAAATTAGGATATGGCCCAAGAGAGCACAAGCAACACGGAAATATTTAGTCTACTAAATAACAAACCACCTCATTCTGCATGATGAAATATCCACAAATTAATAACTATGTTTCTTTAGTTCCACTGTTAAAATAAATCAAGCTAAGATTTGTTAGCAGACACATACAATCTTTGGTTATGTATGCATTTATCATCTTCTTACAGCTTTACAAAATGTAACACAGCTTTTCACAGGATTACAACAACATACCTGTATTTGTTTTTGTCCTTGTATGCCTTACGAATTCTGTCAGTCACAGGTTTGCAATTAGTCACTAGGTTTTTGGTTACTGGAGGCTGCAAGAAAACAGTTTAGATTATAGGTTACTAAAAACCAGAGTCTGTTATAAAGATGTGCTTTGTAGAAAAACAGTTGGAGAGGCCTGCATATGCTTTACTCTCCTGCAAGCAAAAGCAATAGTTTCTTGATCAACAGTTGAGGGAAAAACCAAACAATACTGGTGCATAACATCACAATTTCCCATGCATGTAGGTAATATATGAAAACTATAGGGGTTTTTTGTGGTTTTTTTTTTTTTTTTTTGGCAAAAAACATTGCAACTTCTAGATTTCATTCTCAATCAAATATTCAGAAATTGTAACTCCTTTGACAGATATTCCTCTGATAAAGGCTACCAGTAACACTGGCCAGGTAAACTCTGTGCAACAGCTGATTCGGTATGTTGAAACATACATGAGTTCATCTGGTCCAACTTCCCTGCTCACGCAGGGCTACTTGGTGACAGTTGCTCAGGACTATGCCCAGACAGTTTCTGAGTATCTCCAAGGAGGGACACTGTCCATAAACAGGCAACATACACCCTCACATTAAAAAAAAAAAAAAAGTTTTCTGATGTTCAGAGGGAAACTCCTGTGTTCAGTCCATGCTCAGTGACTCTGGTTCTGCTACTCAGCACCGCTGAGAAGAGCCTGGCTCTGTCTCCTTTGTGCCCTTTGTTGAGATATTTTAATACACTGAAGAGATTCCCCCTTGAGACTACTCTTTAGGTTTAACAGTCCCAGCTCTGTCTTCTCAAAAGAAATGCTCCAGCCTCTCAATCATGGTCCTTCACTGGACTCCATCCAGGATGTCCATGTGACCTTTGTACCGAGAAGCCTGGAACTGGACCCACCATTCCAGATATGGCCTTACCAGTGCGGAGTGGAAAGGAACGGTCACCTTCCTTGACCTGCTGGCAACACTTCCTGTAATACAACCCAGGCTACCATTAGCCTTCTAAGCAGCAAGGTCACACTGCTGGCTCATATTCCATTTGGTGTCCCCCAGGATCCCCAGGCCCTTTTCTGCCAAGCCGTGTTCCAGCTGGGTCGTGCCCAGCATAATACTCCTGCATGGGGCTTTTCCTTCCCGGAGTAGGTTTTTGCACCTCTCCTTGGTGAACTTCATGAGGTTCCTTTCAGCCCATTTTTGGATATTAAAATACGGGAGTCTGAAGTCTTCAAATTCTAAAGATGTCCAGCTGGTAGTTTGGTGGGTTTTTTTTATTTTATTTTGGTTTTATATACATGGGTTATAATTCAGATAAAGACTTGTCAGAGAGGTATTGATCTTTATCTTTTTGGTTCACAACATAAACTTTCCTAACAAGGATGGACTTTTTAAATCCCAATTATAATAACATTCTAAAACTCAGTTTTCCTCCGCTTTTAAAGAAAATTAAGGGGTTTTAAGGTAGGAAGTAGCTTGTAAAATTTTCTTTTGTAACACTTCATATACACACAAGTAGTAGTTTTTCTAACTATTTTCCCTCTAGAAATCAAACCAGCTTTTAAACCACAGTAAATACATACTCAAAGAAAACAAGTATTTTTAAGACCAGTGTTTCTTACCAGATTTGGATCATAATACGCTTCCTGAGTCGGAGGAATAATGTGGATCTGAGTAATGTTGGCAGGAAGAGCTTTAGAGCAATTTATTAGCATTTGTTCTAGACCTGTCAAATCCTAACAGAAAGAAAAGGAAAAAAGCCACATATAATCCTGTTTTCTCATTGACATAGTTCTAAAAATCCAGAGTACACAGACATATTCAATGTTATCTACAAAAGAAATTTCCACAAAAAGACTAAATATTCAGCAGATCCCATTTCAGTAACTGCTAAGTCATGGGACTCCCTATACACCCAGAGTAAAGTAAATGGTCAGTGCAAGGTTGAATTGAGAGCAGATAAAACATGACTTCATTTCATTTACAACTAAAAACACACCTGTACTGACAATGTCAGGACAGTACATAATTCCCAAATCAACACTGGCATATTAAATCCCAAATTAAACAAACAGACAGAAAAGTGAACTGAAAGGACAGGAAGATTTTCTGATTAAGGTACAGGCCAGGAACACACTAAAGTAGCGCTGTGTTCCAGCTATGCCAATCATTTTGTGCACTGTCACAAACAGATTATTTCACTGGTTTGTCCCACTTCCTCTCTGTAAAGCAGAAACAGTCCATTTCATTCTCTACCTGCCTCTCTAAGACAGCAAGTCTTAGTGTCTGTTTATCAGATTCCTAGAAAAACAGAGGCATGACTCTTTGTATATGGGCATACTGTTTATTAGTATGACTTCTTTGCTACCCTTCTTCTCAATTCTTTCTTTAGACCTCAAGTTCCTCAGGGCAAGAACCATCTTTTACTGTGTGCAGGAACTAGACTAAGCACAGCAGGATCCAACTCTACACAGTGAACATTTTTTCTGACAAACTTACACTGCTTTCTCGAGCTGGGATACCAGTGAGCCATTTTTCTGATGCTGCTCTAACTCAATTTAATTGCAGACTCCACAGAACACTGATAAAGTAGAACACAATGTTATATGCTCTACATAGTATTTAAAAATTGCTAAACGTTACAGATGCTATAAGCAAGGATAAATAAAGATTTGAATCCTTCTATGTTAAGAATTTTTGACTTTAAAACTGAAATTACTCTGAAAGCTATTGGTAAGAGTACCTGCAAACTTAGTGGTAGTTCATGGATTCTCGTGGCCAACGTGCGAATCTCTCGGTCAGACAAGATGCCTGACTGGTCCGTATCAATCTCATCAAAGATCTGAGAGATGTTCAGTGGCTGAACTGCACTCATAAGATAGTAGAAGTATGAAAAAGCAAACTGCATATCTTCTGAGTGCCGCACTTTGTGAAATGATGTCTTGTCAAACTCCTCAGGAAACCTAGATAAGAAGAAAAACTAATTTAGCACTCCAGTTCCTTGAAGCAAAACACTCCTTACCTATAAATAATTTCTTATCTAGAATTTTGAAAGGTCTTCAAAAGTCTCCTTATTTTAGCACGACTAGCATGTGGTAATAAATTTCTTATTTCTTTTTTCAAAATCTAATTTTAACGAGTGGCCATTAATACACTGGAAACAGCTCCAGCAAAGCAGCAACAGAAATGCGGAATTACTTGCACTTTTTCATTATTTCAAACAAACCCACACTCACATATCCTGCAGCTCTTGCATAACAGTGCGGTCAATCATGTGAGGCATATGAGCAGGGACTTTACGAGATGTAAATCCAAACTTGCTGTTTAAAAGTTTATTTACATATCGAAGGGAATCAGCAAAGGTATCTTTCAGCTGCCTTCCAAAATGCTTGCCTTCAGTAAAGTACGACATTTGTTTGAGTAATGACTCTTCTTCCTAAAGAGCAGGGCAGGCACAAATCAAGGTTATCTTACTGAAAAAAGGTAGAAAACATTACACACACAGGAAAAATGACATTTCAGCCAGGTGCCAACTCTGCAATATGTGGAAATGGGAAGAGAACTTTTGAATATTTTTCTTCACATTCCTTAGTTCTCTTTAAAAAGAGAACATAAAAGGTAACCTTTTCCTTAAAGCTTTCATGCTTTGAGGAAAACTATAAAAGGTGTCCTTAATATTTATGCTCCGACACCTCGCACACAATTAAGTCCTTGTTTGTCATCAGATTTATTTGTAATATTGCCCTCTTTTTTTGCTGGTTATTCATCCATATTTGATAAAATGAAATCCTATGAATATAAAAAGATTCCTCAAGCAAAATTCAATCTCAGATGAACAGAAAGAGATAGTACTTTACAAGCATGCCCCATTTGCTATTTGGAAAAGGGCAAAGCAGTTGCTACCAACCGAAGCACAGTCTGTCTGCTCTTCTAGAGGTTTTCAAAACCAAGCCAAAATGCTTTGGCTGGAAGCAGAGGAAATTTCCTACACATTTTCTTGACACAGCTGAGATATGCAGCATCTTTGCAGGCTTTTAATTTCACTTCTAGAACATAAATATTTATTATTATACCTATTTTCTACATTTTTTAAACATAAACTGGATCCAAATTTGTATAAATGCTACCAAAACAAAATTTAAGCTTTCTTTTATAGTGCTATATATATCTGAACAGTAGCATTGTGCCAACATACAATGAATAAAAAGTGAATTTCACAAAGAAAGGGAACAGAAATGGTTATTTGGCTTTAACCACCTAGCTAAGAGAGGCCCAGATCATAAACAAATTAGACTTTATGTGAGAAGTCAAAAGTAGCTTTCAAAAAATATCAGCATTTGCCTCAAAGGCAAAACACACTCCAAATATATAGATCATATTAACAGTATTCCACTAAATGCAGAAAGATGCAACTATTCCAATAAGCAATGACATTAAGATACTCACATCAAGAAGGTCCTGGAAATACTTCTTTTTCTCCCATGGCAAAAAGCCTTGGTAACTTCCAGCATAAGACTGTAATTTTCTTCCCACTAGCCCCTCCCTTTTATTTGTATCCACCTGCTCCTGCTCTTTTCCGCCTTCCATTCCCTGTGCGCCTTCTCTAGTATCTAAATTCCCAGTATGTTTTGATTTCTGTGTTTCCCTTAATATGAGTGCATTCAATACTTTTTCTCGAGTTTCATTTTTTTTCCCCATGCTCTGGGAAGGTAGCGTGGCTTTAGGCTTTCCTTTATAAATAGATGCGTTTGTGTTCATTGTCACAAGAGTCCCCTTTGTTCCCACAGGCCTTGAAGAAACTTCTTCATTTGCTTTTATTGTTTTTACTTTGCCAGTATTTACACCTTTATAAGGCTTCTGCAAGCTGGTATGGTTCTTCGGATCTTCTGAATGATTATGCACACCCTTGTTTTCCAGGCCTATAATACTCTTCACTGTAGTTAAGAATTGGAAAGGTCTCAGGAGAGCAGCCTTGGATAGATTAAATCCTTTCTGAGTGATATCACCATTTAGTAGTTTTAAGTCCAGGTTCTTCAGTTCCAGCTGAACATTTTCAGGAAGAAGAGACACATTTACTGATGGTATTATCAACTCTTCCTGCAGACTCTCTTTTGTGCCATTTTGACGTCTCCTGACTTGTGGAAAGCGTTTTTCTTCAGGAATATCCTCAAATATCATTTCAGCTTCTGGTACTGAAGTTATACTTTTAAAATCAGAGTTGGATTTTTGCGTGGAAGTTGTGTTCGGTTTTGGTTCCTCTCTAGTATCAACTTCAACAGCTACTTGCATTTTGAACTCTTCATCGTTTTTATTTAGGAACGTAAGGTTAAAATAGATCACAGTTGCATTCATGCCACTATGCATTATGAGGTGGATAGTCTTCCATTTGTTAGCAACCGAAGCATGTCGGATGATTGGATTATCACTGTATGAACCCTCGATTCCTTTCTTGGCTATTTCGCTGAAGCTGAAGTAGGGCAGACATTCACCTTTAGGAACAACATAGTAGGTCTGATTAAGCTGAAGTGTCACCTTGTACATCTCTTCAAAGTGATCTGGAAAAGAAACAAAACCATGAAACAAATTTCTGTCAATTTCCAGCGTGATATTTATCTTTCACTCTTTTTTAAATTGTAATATGCCCAGCTAGGTTCACTGTAATAGCAGGGAGACAGCTCTGTGAAAGAACACTTACTATAGCTTCCAGTTACTTGCTTGCTTATCTTCAGCAATGGATGACTAGGACATACTCAAATATATAAAGCTCCCAGACATTCCTATACTTATTCTAAAACCCAGTATAATTTATCACTCTTTGTCTCCACCTGAAGAACCTTAGTGGGTCATTTCACACGCTACTTAAAATTCTGTATCAGTCATAAGTAGCCTGCCCCACATTACATTTTTATCACATTTTAGGAGATTACCGTTACACTGACTGGATTTCACTGCTACACTTCATCTTGATTTGAAACTTCTAAAATCAGATAGGCTGAATGGAAGTTCTCCCTCCCACAGCACAACAGAATAAATTCTGTCAACTCTCGTATGAACAAAACCTCGCTGCCAGCAACAGAATTGCCAGTAACACATTTGTCTGAGCTGAGATGCAGGAGAGCCTCTGCTCTTCCAAAGAGGCCAAATTCTTCCCCTGACTATACTAGACAGCACTTTCAGTGATTTCATTCATTCCTGCTAGTCTTTCATAACCAAATAAACTTCAGACAAGTTCACAGGTGACTGAGAACAGCCTTTGGCAAGAGCCCAGAGGCAGACTTGAACTCACACTGTCAGCATCAGAGACTTCTTTAATTTTTTTAAAACTGCTATAGGCATCATAAGTTCAACTGTCCCTATTCAGGTAGAGACACTTTGTGTAACTGAAATGTCATTTCTCCACTTAAAATGTAAGTCTCTTGGGGCAGGGAATGTAATGCTTGCTGCTTCATAAGGTATCAAGTCTCCACCCATGCTTGGTCACCATTAAACAAAGCAGCACATAATATTGATCCAGGTTTGGATTAGTGAGTACAAGAACCACCCGACTTCTTTTTTAGCTGCTACCAGCCCTTCTCCACAGCACTGTACAGGGTGTCTTAGCCCAGTCTGAGAGTAATGTTGAACCAAAAAGGTCAGGTAACTCAAGAGAATCTCTACAGAAAGTTTACCAGTGATGCATTTTACATACCCTGGCCACAGTCACCAGCATCAAATCCACACGAGAGGACATTGCAGGCCTGATCACAGAATTTGTCTGCCAGCCAGGAATTAGCACAGCCTTGGTTACAGTATGAAACACCACTTATTCCTGCACCAAACTGCCATGGTGGTCCATTCCCAATACCTCCAACTGCACCTCCACCAGCAACATAGCGACTACCCCCACTGTTACCTAAAGAAAAAAAAACAAACACACCAGAAATAAGAACTTCAAATGAAGGAAAAAACTCACATTTTAAGCCACAGTGTTGAATCTAGACTGAAAACTCAACAATCAGCAGTGAAATTAAAAAGGAGTCAAATAATATATAAAACTGTATATACATTATACAATAATACATTATACATTTCAAACCCCTTCCTTTCAGCTAAATTTGGTACCTAAATAAGAATTTTCCTATGCCCTCCTATTTCCTGTCATCTATAAATTTGTACATAAATTTGTAGTTTGCAAGAAATAAGGTTTTCATCGGTAAGTCTTTTTTGTTATTATTAAAGGAGGCAAATTTTATAGTTAGAGGAAAATGAAAAAGTACAGAATTATTCTCGTAAGGAAAAAAAAACAGTTCAATTTTCTAAATTTAACATTGCTGTCTTACCAATGCAATCACCTCCATCCCAATCACATGCTGAGTTATTACAGGCTTTATCACAGTAACCATCTTTAATCCATGAGCCAGGACATCCCTCAGCACAGTTTGGCACAGGCCAAGTCAAGTAAACCTGGAACAATATGACAGTCTGAGACAAGGACTCAAAAAACTGAAGTCAATTGAGCTTGTTTCTTGAAATATGGAGACTTAAAATAATGCCTCCCTGTGTGCTGTGCCTTAAGATTTCAGAAAGCTTTACAAACAGCATTTAAACCCTATCATATGTGAAATAAATGTTATTAGTTTCAAACAGAATGAAGAAATGAAGAATTCTCAAGGCCATACAGCCAAGCAGCAATGGCCAGAAATAGAAAGCAGGACTTCCCAAATCTACTTCTGCAAACCACAGACCAATGAAAATTAGCATCTTCTCTTTTGTCAGAGAGGAAGGGTAAACTTTATTCTGAAATAGCTGCGCAGTTCACTTGTTCTCCTGACTCAAAATGTTTCTTCATTACTAACCAGTCATGAGATAAGCAGCACATGTTGAACATAATCCCTGAAGCATCTGATCCTGTGACTTAAATAATTCCGAGAATTGGCATGATAAAAAAAAGTGCGTAGGTGTGTATATTTTCAACTGGGGAGGCATTAAAAACCGCACACATTTTCTTTGAGGCCTTATGGTTTCAAGATTTTAGCAGCACATTCCCTACTGAAACACGTGCTGATCAGGTTATCACACACAATGCTGCACCTATGCTGACTCCATCATAACTGGGATGAATAACTGAAGAACAATACAAATGCAGTAACAATATATTTTGCAGTTATATGCTTAGATCCTCAGAGATTTAAAACAACTAAAAGCTTCCTAACATCCTCAAGTACTGAAGCAGCTATTTTAGTGTAGCTTAAACTAATTTTGTGCAACACTCCTGTGTTTGTGCAACCCTCCTGTGTTTGTGCAACAAGTGTGCAGATCTGCCTGCATGAAATGTATAATTCAATGGTCTCTAGTGCCCTGTGTACTCACTGCTTTAATATAAAAAATATATATAAATCTTTACTTTTTTCCTCCACACTACTCTTGTAGATCAAGCTCATGGATGAAAACTCTGATGGCAACCAGAGCCTTTATGCATAACTACTGCTAATGTTTCCTCAGCCTGCTCTCCTTGCTTAACCCCAGTTGTTGATAATAGGTTTGTTGAAAGACTAAACTACTTTGTGTTCATGAACATGGAACAATATCTACTTCAGTAAATAATTATATATATGATTATACACAGACTGAGCAAAGATATTCCTGGTGTCTGGAACAGAGGTAAATTTAAATATGGTAAATTTTAATGGTAAATTTAAATATTAGACCAGTTTAAATGTCACCAGACCTCAGTGTTCCCACAGAATAATTGATTCTGGTTTGAGTATTTCCCACAAAACAAAAGGAATATTCAAGGGAGGGAAGACTGATAGCTGCCAAACACCACATCAGTCTTACCAGTGCTCTAACAGAATGTGGGAGAATTAGAGAACACTGAAACTAAAGCATGAAGCCTGAGAGAGGAACCATTATACCCCCTGAAACCTATGAATGAATATGAAGAAAGGCAATTCTGCAACTCAAACATCAACACACCACACATAAAAATAGACAAGAGCCTTCCCCACCCTGCACCTTTGCTAACAGTTGTCTAATTAAGAATAATGAACCTTTTGAGACAAAAGGGGGAGTGGAGAGCAGAAGGAAATAATCCTATATTTACTCTGCCTTTCAAAGTAGCATTTCTGTGATTTTCATTATATCAGCACAGAAAAGTTCTACGTCTACTTCTGATACAATATCTTTTCATAATGTCTTACCTTTTGACCTTTAGAGTGACTGTAAAAATCATCAGGCCAAACATCCTTCCCAAACATAACATCATCATTGAGATAAATAAACTTCTGAGAAAGGCCACTGATACGATGAATATGACTTTCAATAGCTGGTGAACTGAAAGTAGGCAAATGACTCACATTCTGAAATATTTCCTGAAACAAGAAAGTCACCACCACCAAAAAACAATTTCAGAAGGAAAAAAACCACAAACCCCAAACAACCCCAAAACAAACAAACAACAACAAAAAACCCCAAGGTCAGGCACATCATATATTTGATACTTATCTACTAAAAAAAATTATAAAGAACAGGAGAGATGAAAGAAGTAAAAGTACTTCAGCAAATGAAGACTTCAATATCTCATTTTTCCCACATAAAATCATTTTCAAGTCTGCTGCTTAACTAAGAAACTGTACCTGGTTCATTACAAAGACACAAACTTTCACACACTCCTCTTTCATTGGGTAGTGGATCAGGCCAATGTACACATCTATTATTCTCATGAAGTACAGGCTGCACAAAATTTCCAGCAAACTGAACCTCTTCCAGCATTCAAAAAAATATTTTAAATAACTTCACAAGCAGACAGCAACAGAACTTGAATTAATATCTTTTTACCACTTAGAGCTCAGAGCTCCTATGGCACGTCCAGATGCCAAAATTACTCCCAAATTCGTTAAGAAGCTACTTGATTATTTTTGTTTAACTTATTCAGGAAGTTTGAAGTATTTCTTTTCTCTTTTTGAATAACACTTTTGGAATGCATAGATACTTTTTTTGTAGCCACCTTCTCAGTTCCAGTAATTTTAATCCATCCTGTCTCAACACAAGCTTATTAAGATTATTACTGGTTCTGACAGTGTCTATGGATTCAGATTACATCTTCTTCTCTCTAGGTTTTTTATAAATAGACTCGATAAGGAAATTAGACACAGGTATACATTAGCTGAAGCCTCAATATTTGAAAAAGTGAACTAAATAAAAGCTTGATATATATTCAGTTATGTGATTAGTCAAAACACAAAGACATACTGGGGTTTACTAAAACTGTGGATGAGACAAGGAAGAGGTTGCCACTTCTTCCAAATAAATGCAGCCTTTAGCTGAAAGTGGATAACTGCATTTCAAAGCAAACACAGCATCTTTACTAGTGGCACTTTCATACCAATGTTTTTGTTTGGGGGTTTTCTGTTTGATTTTTGTTTGGGTTTTACCTGATGTGTCACTATAGTTATCCGAGGATTATCCAGGTTAAGCCAGGAAGGAATCTGCCCATTGGTGACGATGAAAATATGTCGTACCCAAGGGGCATGCCTCTCTATTGATCGTAAGGAGTATCTCAGCTCTTCATTATCTTCAAAACGGCTGGCAGAAACATCTTCATCCTGTTTGGACTATAAAAATGAAAAATCCATCCTTAGATTCTAAACAGAACATACAAGTTCTGATCCAGCTAGGTCAGGATAGTGTGCTATGGGTGCATAAGCACTTCAGGTCTTAGTCATTCAAAAATAAAAAGTACATTCATCAATAACAACTATTCTTATGAAGGATCATATTCTTCTGAATTATCAAGATGAACAATACAATCTTCTGACATCACTGGCTGACCACCTGGTATCATTAGGATGTCTGCTGACCACACTGCAAGGTGACACTGCCTTGTGTGATACTAGTTCTTAAAGAAAGAAGCCCAGTCAAAAAAAAAAAACAACCCTCCTGCATTTCAAATCAGTAACATTTCAAATCAGTAACATTACCTTTCAGAAATCCAGTTTCAAGAGGCTGAGACCTTCCAAGTACATTGCATCATAAACTGTATTTAAATGTCACCTAATATAGATATACTGGAAGTGTCATGATGTAGTAGCTCTGCAATTTTCCCCTGCTCTGTTATTTTAAAGAATTTAAGCAGAAGAAAATTAACAAAACTTAGCCTAATACTCTCTATCAAATAGCTTAATGTTTCTGTGTGTTTTTATCAAAGAGAAATTTCTTCAATTAGAAACTCATTAGTTAAGTAACAAAATTAGGTTACACGACACAGTAACACAACTCTTTTTATGAGAACTTAATGACCTCTCCTAAAACCTACAATTAAAGCTTACTAACAGGAACATTTCTAAAGTCCAAATGAAACAGGAAACTTAAAAAAATATTTGAATGTTTAACAATTACTATTTCCACTGCAAATTCTAGACACAGAATGAGCCTTCTTTTCTAATATGTAACACAGTTTTCACATCATCAAAAGCGTAATACCTGAAAACATTTCAGCAACACCAGCAGCTATTGCCTAGGTATCCATTCCCAAAAAAATGCATAATTTCAACATGGGGAAATAAAAAGTTTGAGTTCAGGGTTGGTAGGTAGAGTTTCTTAAAAGCTCAGTTGACAGGACACAAAAGCAAGTTTTTCTGGGTTGGGCACATTTATTTTACCCAAGCCACTGGACATTTACCATAAAATTAAATTCCAGCAGGAGAAAAACTCCAAGATTTTAGAAAATCTTATCTTGAAACTCACACCTTGTTATTTCATTTCCTGTTTCTAAACAAACATCCTTTCTGTATCAAAAGCATTCAAAGTAAGCCTCCTTTCCTTACACACACCTGTATTTCAGGACTTCAACACTTGTGGAAGAGAAGCAATTAACATTTGCTCAGCATAAATGATGCTGCAAAGCAAAAAATTACTAAGAAACATATTGGGAATGAGATAATCATGTTTGCTAATAAAAGCCTTTATCTGCCCCACACAGGAAGTCTGTTTATCTGCCAGTCAGAATCAGTCAAGCCTTTCAGGACTTGACTGCAACACAACTTTATCAGAACATGTGCAGAGGGCAAAATTTTTCACTTAGTGGGGAACACGAAAACTTCAATTAAATGTCACACTGCTTGATTCTTCCCTCTCCTTTACTTGAGAATTGGACAGTGTTCTTGTGACGTTTCTCACAACCTCAGAGGCACTTGATTCTTAATACTTCCAAGCTTCTGGAAGAAATCCCATGTTCCTTGTCATAGGTAGCCTCTACTTGCAGTTTTTAAATGCTGTAACCTTTATGTGCTGTAACAGATTTTACCTACCTGACTGACAGAGCTGAGGTCCCATAACAAATAAGCAGGATTAAGCACCAGTTCTTTCCCATCTATAGTCATGTTCTTCTTTGTTTGCTTGTTCAGTTCTTGGAAACCCTTAGGGTTATTCAGTTGCAAGAGAGCCACGCTGGCTTCTGAATAGAGCTGTAACTGTACAAGCAGAGAAAACAATTTCTGGCATGCAGCACTCTTTCTCTGCTAATTCCACATTTTTGTTGTATTTTTCTTACTAGAGTTACCAAGAAGAATGACTGCTAAGTAATGTATTTAAAGAACTACAATTTTGTAAGAACACAAAAAGGAGTAGTAAAATGGGAAATGGAAAAAACATTTAAAGATACAGAACATTTCTAAATGCTTAGTTTTCACTTTACAAAGAAAATTTCTCTTTACACAATGATCCAGTCAGCAGTAAAGCTGTTCACGTTATAAATGTTTCCGGAGCAAGTGAATACTAAGTCACCATCCATTCCCTCCCACCCCAATAACAAAATTCATGTTTTATTAAAATTTTATTATATGACTGGAAAAATCATCCTTTTTTTTTTCCATCTTAAACAAGCAACGATCTTCTCAGAAAATTAAGGGCATCAATGTATCGTTGCTGTCAGATGCGTGAAATTTTCAGAATGGTTTACAGTTAGTTCAACCTACAGCTCCGAAATCTGAGATACAAAGGGCTCCAGAGCTAATCCATGTGGGTCTCCAAGCCCTTAATGATGGTTGCCAATATGCTATTAAGGTCATTTCTTAGCTGAGGACTGTTTGATCTGTTTGCTGTTTTTATCTCTTGCCACCAGTAAGTCTGTATATCAGATTTCATAATGCACAGGATGAGGGGCTTGCACTACACACCCACTCACCCTTTCTCTAACAGCTTAAAAATGACAGGGCAACAAAGCATCTCCCCAGTAATATGGCATAACCCAATAAAATGCTGTGTTTACCATATGAAGTAGCATGAGCAGATACAATCAAGCTAAAAGCAGAACTGCACTTGGAGTTTCCAAGGGTATGCCTGATTGAGAATAAATGCAGTTAATCATTAATGATATTTATTTGAGCCTATGCTTAATTTTTGTTCCTTCAGGCAGCATAAGACAAATAACCACATCTACCAGGTTTTCAGTTGCATAAGATCTGTAAATGCAATTCATAAGCTACCAAAATTTGAATAATGTCAGGTTCAAAAAAACCAAATCCATCAGTTTCTTTCATAATAACCTTAAGTGGTTTTATTTATTTTTTATTAAATGTGACCCTTTCTGCTCATTTTAAAACACCACTCGTCCCAGAGTTAGCAGCCCTTCCCTTAGTAAGACCAGCTGTTCCACTTGTGACATTTCAAAGCTGTTGATGCTTTGACTCATATGCTATTTGAGATCTTTCAATCTGACTTATGAGGCCTGCCATTAGGAAAATCTGATAAATCTCAGACCTTCCAAGGAATCATCTGAACCTATGGGTGGAAAGGATGGCTTCAGTAGCTAAAGGGCTGAGGTATAGTTATGGACTGCAGCCAGCAACCTCCAAAAATATCGGGATCAAAATGCTACAGATTACAAAGCTGCCATCATTGGGTATGTGCTTTATTTAGGAATACAACAGTGTCACACAGTCCTTTAGAATCTGTAATTTAAAACATACATATAACAAACAAAAATATTACCATTCTAGAGCTCTGAAAGCATTTGAAAACATTCAGTTTCTCTTTAACTTGTTCCCACCAAACTCAGCAAAATAAATACCTGTACTACAGACTCCTACCTAGATTTATTACACACATTTCCCCTTTCCCCCCACTAATACAGCATATACGCTGCATTTTTTTAATTTGTAATATTCCAAGCACAAACAAGAAGTAGTGGAAAAACACTCCACTGCTCAGCATCAGTTAAGCTAAACACTGAAATAAATAGATTATTTTTATTACCTCAGTGTGGTTTTTTTCCAGTAGTATCTTTTTTAAGAAACCAGTATTTTCCTTAGCAGAGCTACAATTAAGTTAGATTTCAATGAATTTATCTGGTGATATTACTAACAAGATTCTAATAAATTGCAGGCTCTGCTCCTACCATTTTGTTGCTGGTACATTCAAAATGGAAATTTCTGGCAGATTTTCTACTGTCTCACAGGTATTAACCTCCCCTCGGTAGGGATGCACACAATTGTCCATTCCCTTGGAATATTACCTTATACAGAACATCTCCATCCTGCCAAAGCAGGTTAGCAGATCTAAAGGCATTGTAAAGATAGAATAGAAAAACAAGTAGATAGATGGTCAGTGTGACCAGGCGAGGCTCTGCTAACCCAAGTGGGCTGAAAACACACCCAGGCCACCACTGCACATTTCTATCACACACTTGAAAATGAGACAGGAAAACTGCATTTTCTCCATCAGGTAGCTTTAAAAGCAGGTTCTCCTTTGGAGCCAGCATGTTTGGCATTGCTTACTAGGAGACAGGCTAGATGAGCTCAGACATCCCATGTGGAAGTAAACACCTTCATTTCCATTTTCTCAAGGTAAGAGGCCTCGAGCACTTTTTTTTCTGAGGTGGGGCTTAGACTCTTAACCAGTCTTCAAATTATTTTGCTTTGTCTTCTTAATGACTAAAGTTGATTGTCAAAGAAATGAGATGCTCCTTTTTCACACTACAGTATGGATATTGGGAAAATTCATATGCCCACATAGCAGGGGAAGGGGGCCATGTGTTGCCTTAAAGAGTTAAAAAAGTTTAATGAACATGAAACACTATTGTCTTTACAAACGTCTCAAGTTCCCTTTATGAAGTGATACAGTAGGAGGCTCATCTCTGAGCCAAAACTAATGCAATGCCTTAAAGTTTTTTTCTACCAAGTTTACTTACTCCATCTGTGTGATCATACAACACCAGCTCCTAAAGCCACCTGTCTGCTCCAACAACACTGACAAGCCGCAGTAAGAATCCCAGACCCCTCATCCTCAAGGCAGTGAGGACAGCAAAACACCACTGTGCCTGCAGGTTCCCAGGTGAATTTTCTTCCATTAGTAAGACAAGGTTAATAAGACAGCCCTTAGTTTCTAACATACTTGCTCATATTTGTGTATATGTGTGCGCATGTGGATTAAAGGACACAATATTTTGCAAAGAGGGAGATCTCAGTTGTCCTTGAGGCAACTAGGATATCAAATCTTGGAAGAAGATCACCTCTCCAAAAATTTTCACTTCTATATATAATCTCAGTGAAAAATTGTTAGCATGACAGCCTCAAAAAACCAAAATCAAACCAATCAAATCCTTTTGCCCAGTCAATCCTTCCCTTGCCAGTCTTTATATCATGACTTCAAAAATTAAGTCATAAGTGTCTCCTTAAACTGAATAATAGTTTTCTTTAGATGTGTAGTTAAGGGGTGGGAAAACTAAAATAAAATGTTCAGTTGTTCTTCATATATGTCCAACATAATGTCTTTCAAACAGCTCAGCAGCCATCAGCTGCACAACCAGAGTAACACCTCCATCTAGTGGCTTGTTACACTCAGTTAAGAAAGCACAGACAACAAAAAGCAGCCAAATATAATTTTCAACCTTATCTGTCATAACACTCACAATGCAGAACAACAACTATGACCAACAGACTGATTAACACTGCTGATTAACTTTCATTTGGAAATAAAATTCCATATCATTACATTACAGCATAGGCCATAAGTACAAAAATTCAGTAGACCGCAACAGACATAATTCACCTTGGAAATGAAGCCATTATATCACAAATCTTCACTTCTTAACCACTTCTAGTTGACCTCAGCTGTTTTTCTCAGTGATTTTTAGAAGAAATATCTGGCCCAGATGTCTGAACAATTTTTGGTCCTCTTTGGACTCAGAGGGGATTTGAATCAAACTAAAGCAGTCTAACTAAAACAGCTATATCAACATTCAGCACAAACTCACTGACAGCTGCGCTCCTTCTACTCACCAACAGTATACTCCTTTTCTCACTTTTCTTCCCTTCTAACAGCAGCATTGCTGGAAGTGTTTTTCATCATTTCTTTACTTCCAGCATTGCATTAAGAAACAGTCCCTCAAAGCATGAAGAAACCCATTAAGCATCAGAGGACATCTATGAGACAAGTCTAGCTTAAACTCAGGTGCAACTTTCTTCCTCTCCGCCAGGCGTGTTACACCACTTCAGAGAGCTTAGATTAAGAGATACCATAACAACAGAGGAATTGCTTCAGATTTCAGAGGAGACTATAAACAACCAAAATTTCTCCTACTTAACTGTAGCATCAACACAGCATATCTCTCTGATAAGAAGAAAACCACACTTGGCTGTGTTTACCATAACTGCCTACCTACAACATCCACTGAAAGGATGGACTCTGAGCTTGGACCTTAGCAAAGGCTTCTATAGAAACAATATTTCATCCAAACTTCACGTTTAAAAAATTTTATGCATGCAAATAAAACATTTCTTACATTTATATACATATATTTCATTGTAAGTACAACATACAAAAATTGCTGCTATCAAGAGTAGAGAACTGGTTGAGAAAGAACTCACTGTTATGACCACATGGGGTACAACAATCCCAAATTAATTGTTCTAAAACGTCCACCACCAGTAAAAGAAACACAGAAAGCAAAGTTGACTGGAAAGAGAAACTGCAGAATGCTGTGGATACCTGACAAAAGATTGTGTTTATACAGAGATACGCCTAGCCAAATTGCAGAAGAGAATTCTTAGGAACAGATAATGAGTTGATCACAATGGCAATGTTTACACAGAGATAAGAACACACTAAGGAAAAGGGAACCAGCACAAATAGACAACACATGACTGATCACAAGGAAAAAAACATAAACGAGACAGCTTTAGGGAAAAATCATGTAGAAACATGATAGGCATGGGATAGCCCTTCCATAAAAACAGAAAAGGAGATGGAAAATGTATCTAAGACAAGCCAGAGATACAGCCTTTATGTTCATCTGGACAGCAGCAAAAAAAAAAACAAAACCACTGAGAAACTATAGTATTTCTAAATTTGCTAAAGAGCTAACCTGGTGATCAGCCTGGACACAGACAACAGATTAGCCAGCTGCTTGGATATAAGAAGTACAACTGAAACACAAAAAGAATTGATCCATCATGTTTTCTGTTGGACTAATACTGCTAGGAGAGCCTACTGAAATGGAAAAAGCGACGTTGAAAGCAATGAGTTGACCAAATGAAAAAAAAAAATAATACTGTAATCAAAAAACTAAGGTCCAGGCAGAATTGTTCCACAAGTCTTAAGACCACAAGGAAATAATAAAACCAGTAGATGGCTCAAATGTAATTAGGAGAAATCCAGGTATTTCATTCTTCAAAGGTGTCCATGAAAGATGAAGTGTCTCTGTTCTAGCACACGGACTAGCCTAAGGTCTGTACTTGACATATTCACAGCAGAAATCCTGGAGACAATTATGAACTTCTCAATGCTGGAAGCAAAAAGTCCACACAGGACGGAAAAAAAAAGGGAAAAAAACCTATCAAAACTGACTTTACAATAGTCAGATAATGCAATTAGAGAAATAACTACAATGAACGAAGACAGAAATTATCTGCAGAGAGCTGGGGAACAAGGAAAAAACCAGCAAAAAACACCCCTCAACAGGAGGTATTCGTATACTAAAAGTACTGTGTTTTAGCAGCAAAATTATTAGTACAGCCATGACAACAGACATCAGAGTAAAGAAGAAAAGGTCGTAAAATATCAAGGACAGAAAGACACTAAAGGGTCCAAGAAAAACACATAAAAAGTTACTCTGACAAAGGAACACCAAGTGTTAATGATACAAAACACCAGAAATAAAAAATAAAAAAGTAGAGTACTATGGCACAAAACTGATTTAAGTCAAAATCATTGCAGAAAAGAACATAAAGAAACATCTGCTAAAGGACAGAAAATGAAATTCCAAATATTGTTTGGAGGGAGAACATTCTTCTCATATGTTACTATGAGAGCCTATGTCTATGATGTTCAGCCAGAGAACAAACACTGCCAGGGATGATGCTCCAATATATTCCCAGATGTGGTAGCACACAGATTTCTTTTCCACAAAATGATCTGTGAACTGAGAGAGGCAACATAATTTCATATACCAATTTGGTGGTTAATGAGAACATTACAGAAGAGCTGCTCCTAGAAAATAACCCTATGTCAGGAAAACATAAGCTAATTGATTTTAAATTGAAACAGAAAAAAATAATTAAGGAATGTCAAGTTACTAGATTTCTTGAATGCTAAAAGGGCAAATTTAGCAAACGAAAAGAGCTGGTACAAACACATTCTGAGCTCTTCAGCTACATCAAGTCAAATGTATTAAAACTACCAGCAATCTGTAACTTAAGCTGTGGTGAGGAACTAGAATAGGCTCGAAACCCAAAGAGATGAAGCTGTGCTCAAATAAGATTGTTCAGATGGCGCAAAGTCAGGAAGCATTTAACTAGCAATGTTCCTCATGCAAACTTGAAATCAAGAACCTAGCAACTGAAGTACCATCTCTTGTTGGATAGTAATCTCATTTCTCTACAGAAACACCATTTCTTTAAAGTGATTAAAAAAATACCCACAGCTTATGAAATAAGCAGACTGGCAGACTGACCATATGAATATCCACTGTTGTTTAACCCTGTGACACTAGAGATGTAAACGAAGGCCAAAAAAAAAAGCTATTCAAGCTGAAATGGCTATTTAAAAGCTCTATTAAGCTGTTTTAGGGAATGTATGAGGAGAGGTACACATGTGTTTACTTTGCAAGGTTTCTACCATTAGCAAGACTAGCACAGTCAGCTAACACAAGCTGAGACAAGAAAGAAGAAATTCAGCTTGCGTTATATTGCATTGTGACCAGCCTTTGAAGGGGATTACACAAGACAATTTCTGCAATAGAATACGTGAGTTGTTAGCCCAGCTTGCCAAAGAAAATGAAAGACTTTTCCTCATTTGAGCACAAAGAACAAGCCATAAAGTAAATTAGCACATGCTACAGGTAGACATCAGATTAATGAAGACAAATTACCTACCGATTGACATCCCTTTATCCCTGCTAACCCCTTCTCCTCCACAAACTCTTTGGCCTCAGTCCTCTCCACACCATGAATCACATCTCTCTTCAGTGCATAAGCCAATGACTTTAACAAAGTTCTTAAACTTTTACCTATCTGTTAAATCTGGCGTAACTCAAACAGGTGTCCAAGTATCAGAGAAGAACAGGAGGCGCTAAATGTTAGTGGATGACAGTCACCCAAGTTGTGTGATCTGTTGCCTTGCAGATGGGTCAACTGAAATGCAACTTGCTCAAGACCCTACAGAGTATGTGGCAGTGAGAAATGCAGTGTTTGGTGCTGTTACTATTAAGAGAATTCCTCTAAAAGCAAAGAGGGAAGAAAAAAGCCAAGAAGAAACAAATTCTGTCACATTAAACAAGTCAGTCATCTAGAATCCTAGAGCAAGACAACAGCCTATAGCAAATGGCTGAGAGAAACTGATAAGGCTGGTCCCTTTCAACCAGTTGCAAGTTAGTAAATCCAATGCCCAATAACTTGCAGTCACAGAATGAACAACTGGTCTTTTGAAGGAAACTCTTTAAGACACTATTTGCTACTCTTCACTACTCAGGAAAGAGTCACACAGAAAAACCCCAGATTACTATCAGAAATATTCTAAGTCTCCTCAGTGAGTGAGATCCCAAATGTAAGCCATTTCAAAAGACCAATACAAGTCAAGTACTCTTTCTTCCAGACCCTTACCAGTTTTACTTTAGAGGCCAGGCTCTCTGGTAGTTTTGTTCGGAGCTGATTTGTTTCTTTGAAGGTAGCTGGAAATCCACTAAGGAAGGCCAAGTCTTGCATTAATACCAGACCTGGAACTTCTTTGTCTGTAGTCTAAAAACAAGAATACAGGGTATAAAGATCTTTTCACACTTACAGTAAGGTTTGTTTCAGAAGTTTTCGCTTTTTACTACATGCGAGTTATGGAGAAAGAATAGTCCAGAAACTTTCTAAAAATGCACAGAATGTTCAACACACAGAAAAGCTAATCAACAGATTTTAAAAGAACATACCAAGTAAGCCCTCCATACTATCTGTTTGCTGTTGTCTTTCATCATTCCAGAATGGGCAGCTTCAACTAGAATACATAAAATGTATTGTAGATCAAAAACTGAAAGTCACTTCTTTTTCATATTCTATTAATCAACATATATTTTTGCAAAGTAAAATGATTTCAATATTTATGGCGTGAAGAGTTATCTTTACAAGTAGTAAAAAACTCTCGGTAGTGAAATAAACACTAGTGGTTGGGCTAGTGAGTGGTAGTGGTTGGGCATTACATATTAAACAAAACAAGAAGCTCATACCTGCCCTAAGACCCTACTTATATATGCTGAATACATGAATAATTTTGTTTTACAGTATGCAATCCTTTGAGCAAGGGCAGAACTTACTGCGCAATATTTAAACTAGACTTCACAGCAATTAAGGGAGGACTTCCAAAACTAATCTTCCTCATTCTAAACCTCAGCCTTCTGAGATTACCAGTGCAAGACAGATACTCAGATATCAAACCTGTTTTGCAATAGTCCTTTAAAGCATGGAACTCTAATTGTCTGTAATCAGTTGTCTGGGAGGTAAGCAAATGGTATCATTAATGTTAGCATTTAGAGGAACAGATCGAGGGCTAGAGACACAGAATGACTTGCTAAAGTTAAACAGAAAATTAGCTGCAGAGTAGGTAACTGGAGGAAAAAAGGACCCCAAAACTAATTCACGGCAGCTTACCAAAAAAAAGCTTCCTCTAGAAAACTGGACGGAATCAGACAAAGAGGTTCTTACCATCCTTAGGGCTATCAAAAACTATTACTGTCACATTGGTAGAAGGATTTTTTGGTTTTGCTACAAAGAACATATTGTTAGCAGCTTGTAAAGCAGGATGAATGGACAGCAGGTCTTTCAGTGTGACGTTGATAGGCAGTGCAGGATCCAGGACAAGCATTGGCACTTTGATGCAGTGTGTCAGCAAACACTCCAGTTGCTTCTCGCTACAGCAAAATACCAAAGGTATATTTAACATCAGTAGAAAATTTAGGACAAAAGCCAGTGTCAGATGCAACTAGATGTTTTCGTAAAATCGGCTCAGTTGACTGTAACACTTGCTGTGGCATGGGGACATTGTTGAAATCACTCTTACTTAGATGTAGAAGAGGAATATTTGACTGTTAGTGTTTAGTTCATTCCCATAACTGTTTTTCCAGAAGTTTCCAGCATTTCAAAGTCTGCCTACAGAGAAGTCCCTATAAAAAATCTCTAAATAACAGAAGGACCAAGCCGAACGAGTGGGATGGACCAGGCCCTGCCACTTCCTGGCAGCAGAGCCACAAGTGGCCCTGACCCTTCACAGGCAATCACCTGCAGTGCCACGTATACAAACAGCAGGTGAAAGTAACACTAAAAGAATGTTCATGTTTTTGAATCATAAAACTTCAGGTACATACACATTAAAAATTCACACTAGGAATAGGGACTGCGCCTAAAAAGAGTGACAAGGATATGCTTTTCAAACACCAGAAATTGTTACGTTTTAAGAGGGTCATTCAGACAATGTACAATAACATTACTTTTATTCAATATATATATATTATCATGCTGTCATCTTTTCTTGAAGTGACATAGGAAAGCATGCATAGACTATAGAAGACCAAACCACAACCCCAACCAGCACCTGCTTTCAGCTAACAATGAACAGATTATCACTTATTCCAATTTATGCCTCAAATCACAAACTCACCTCTTTTTTGTTGGTTCTGTTGTGTTCTTTCCAAGGATTTCCCTATTACAAAGTTAAAACAACTATATTAAATAACACTGAGTTGACAGTAAGGAATTTAGTCTAATTTCAGATTGTTAATTGAGTCAGGGGTGCATTGTGAAAGCACTGCTAACCCAGTTACAAAGCTGTAAAGGCCTTGCCATTGCCCTTGCCAAGGCAAGCTGACACAAGTGCCCTTCACTGCTCACACTGGTGCAGTGTGGAGCTCATAAATTCGTGATTGTGCTGACAGCTACGGCAGCAGGACTCTTTCTTCTATAACAGGATTTTATGGGCTTATTATTAGATTACTTAGAAAAAAAAAGATGTTGATATGAAAAGCACTGGTAAGAAACGAGGATGAAGTGACCTGAAACTAGGTTGACTTGATTGTTTTGCCTAAATATTCTGATAAGGACTATGAAAAGCTCTTTCTGCAGTAGTGCTCATTGATTTCAAAGTACATGAAAAAAGTTACCTACAAGAGAGGTGCCCCTGTAGATACTGAACGTGGCATGGATATGAGTCTTACTCATAAGCTTGATATCAACTTTCCAAATCAGTTGTGGAAGAAAACAATACGTGTTTTTCCCTTTCCAAAAAGGAAATCACAACACGAGGGATGACAATGCTCCACTAATATCCTCTATATGAACTGCTAAGGAAATAGTAGCACAAATCTGAAAGCTTTTCAGAGCAGAGACACCATGTCTATGTTTAAGATGTTTAAGGTCAATGGATTTAAAGTTCTACTAATATTTTCATTGTTTAGGTAGTAAGGAAAAAAAATCCAGAATTTCTCTTATGATCACATTATCAGTGGTACCTAAATTGCAAGACGCCAAAACTCAGATCAATATGTTTACTTGCGGATTTCTGATTATTCTGAATTCAACTATTACAATCCTTAAAATATGAACTTGTTTGTCCATTCAGAATACTTTCTGCCCAAAACAGATCATGTGAACAGAGCTGGTTAGTAAGAACTAAATCAATGGTTGCAAGACACAATCCAAGGTGTCTGCAGCAGCGTGTGTTTGAAGGCTTAGATCAGTAATTATGCAGAACTGTATGCCACAATCTATAACATCAAATAGCATCAAATGCTCCCTAGTTAAAGCACAGTTCATACCTTTATAACATGAATAAATTATTTTCCTATTTATCAGTTTCAGTGTTTGGAGACAACAAATCTACCTTAAAAAGAAAGCACCTTTAAGAAACGTGTGCTTATAATTTTATTAAGCCCATTATAAAAAGAAATACTGGGGCAGGGGATGGCAGGAGAAAAAGGGGATGAAGAGAGGTTATACATTTGAGATACAGTTTTATTATTGTTATTATTTACAAATTGAGTTATAGAAATCAATACAAAATTACATATACAACACACAGTTCTTTGGATGGCATTTAAGAAATTCATGACAGCACAGCTCTAATTATTATGCTTTATATCTGAAGCAGTTTTTTTATTACACGGTATTTCACAGCTAAAAGTAGAACTGAAACAAGGTTTTGAGAATAATCAAATGAAGAAGTGAGAAAATGTGCTTTGAATTTTCATGTTGAGTAATACAGGAAAAAATAACAACAAAGGGAACTAGTACTGCATTAGATTGTTGCTGTTGGTTAAAGGGAAAAAATACATAAGATCATTACCTCATTATTTTTTGTTCTTCCTCCATCTGTTCCCTGACCTGTTGCAATTCTTTGATCAGTTCAACATCTGTGCCATTCACCCAGGTGTAGACCACATCAATTGGCATGGGCAAACACAGCCTACATAATTCAAAGGAAAGCTACATGAGCTGTTTAATATTACATTACAAGTGTTCATGGCATCCTACAATAGCAATTTCTGTCTAACAACAGAAATACTTGGTGTTTGGACTGCAAACAATACAAAGCAAAAAGCCTCTGTTTAGCTATATATATCGTGTCTTAATTATACACAAGCCTTTGACAAAACAGCACAGGCACAAACCAAAACCACAAACTGGCTATAACACTTCAGTAACTAAAGGAAATCTTAGCTTTATGCTCTGAATTTCACCTACATAAACCTATAACCCAATTCCTTCAAACCCATCAAATATTTTACAAGTCAGCACCAGCATCCAGCCACATTCGTTATTCACCAACTACATTAGATTGGACAGCATGAAGTATTATGACTTAAATCATACTTGCTGTTATTTAATTGCACAGAGCCAACAAGATCTCAGCAGGACCAGGTCTCTATCCTAGCAATGTCTCTTAGTTATTATTAATAGACTGTTTCATAAACCAAAAACTTAATTTGGGTACAAGAATTCAGACTCCAGACAAAGCAGATAAATTAGTTCTTGACACAACTGAATATCCTGGAGCTATTTCTGGAGAGCTGCAGATTTCCTAATATACCCAAGGCAGAAGAAATAGGTTTGGAATCTTTTTTCTATTTTTGAATGATAATCTCCTCTCCAAGGCCTAAGGTCCACTGCTTTGTGACAGCAGGTACTCCAGGCTGCTACCATAGATGAACCTCTCAGTCCCAGAAAGCAGGAGGCTGCCCCAAATATTATTTTCAAAAGTTCCAGTGTCAAGCTATTTAACATCTCCCTAAACTGTAGATGGCCTAGCAAACGCTGAACACTTGTCTAATGCTGAGATATGTGGGGTCATGCAATGATGTTTTCCAAAGGTGTTCCCTCTCCACCCACTGTGTCGCCCAAAAAGCATTCAAATCGAGGCACAGCTTGCAGGCAATATCTCACCCACATTCCCCTGCACAGCACGCCAAGCAACTTCCACCCAGCTTCATTTTCTACTGGCTCAGATTCAGTAACTGAAGCACAAAATTTGGTAAAAGGTCAGCCAGTAGCTGGTCACAGCACAACAGACAGGAACATTTCGTCCTCAATTTCGTCCTTCTCTATAGAAGTTCATAACACAACAGTTACACAAGTTAATGGAGCTATGACACAAAGAATAACAGTGGGTCATTCTGGGACAGTTTGAACACCTGAGCAACAGTGCTGCCTTCCCCAGAAAGTCTCTCTCACCTCTGACATGTAACACTGTGCAGAAGGCTACCCTCTCAACTGGCAAGAAAAAAAAGTCAATTTACTGAATACAAATAATCCTCTAATCAGTTGTTTCACCTCTTTCCCCAGAAATGACTAGCTTCTTGTCCATTAACAAGGCATGTTTTGAACTAAAAAGTTCTCCACGGGAGTAGAAATTCAATGGCAGTAGCTCTTCCAGCTTTTCTACATTTGTTGTGATCAATTAAATTACTGGTTTGAATGTTACAGCTAGGAAAGGAGTGTTTCAGGTGGAAGCTACTGACACAAGCCAGCAGATTTCCAAAATGCCCAAGCCTCAGTCTTCTGTGCAGAGTTTATTTATCCAGGCTTCACTGAAGAATGTAGTATGTCCAAAATAAAAGCCTGAACTCCAACTCCTTCAATGGTATGAGGCAATTCTGACTTCTGTGAAGCCTCTCTCCAATTCATAATTTATTTAAAGGGTGTCTATGCAACAGCACATATAACTATGTAATTTGCTATGCTATTGTCACATGCAGTCAAATGTTTATAAATTCCAGAGGAAAGGCATTTTCGGTCAGGTGCAGGTATCCCAACTCTGAATTAACTCTGGCATGGCAAGCTCACTATTCACTACCAGTGGCAATAGAGAAAGACCAGTAAAAAAACAAGTGAACTGTTTGCAGATCCACTAGTCCAACCACTTTAAGTTTATCCAAATACTTAGATGAATTTTCTTAACGCATTTTTACAGCATCCATTGTTTCAGAAAGTTTATGAAACATAATAATAAAACCCAGATATTGCAAAATTCAATTTATTGCTTCCAATTGGGCTACGTAACACTTTTAAGACTTTACCTTTTTGGGCTTTGTCAAAGCTTTCTGGATGGTTTCATGGTTTCTTAAATAGTATTGAGAATTTATATTTTGACAGGTATGTAGGGGAATTTTGGTTTAAAGTGAAAAGGAACAGGAGAGCCACTTCAGCAGTATGGTTCTCAAACACTATTTTTCACGTAGAGCCTTTTACAAACATTTGAAGGTCAGAAAAAAACCAAAAACTGTCTCCCTCAAATTCTGTAGCTGTGTTTCTCCCTCATGTGGATTTATACATGTGGTCTTCATCAAAAACACCAGTCTGGCAAACAGGTCAAGCCCAAGATGAACTGAGTCAATTTACTAAATACAACTACCCTTCTAATCAGTTATTTCCCCTTTTTGAGATGACCAGCTTCTGGTTCATCAATAGATGCAAATCAAAGCACTCTTTGATTCCAAGTGGGAATTATCTTAACACCTTTCTAGAGAAAATCATCAGTTTTTCCATTTGCTAATGATTGTAATATCAGCAAACATGGACTTTGGAAACTTCCTTGGAGACTACTAGACAAGTTAATTAAGTTGAGGCTTGCTGTGGATAGTCTTTTACATTTTTCTCTTTCAAAAATGTACATTTTTTACTTGCAAATCTAAAAACATCAATAGGATCCTGCTTGAAGGCAAAGGCAGAGCCACCAGCTCCCCCAGATGGGACAGGATGCACACCTGCTGGGAAGTATTTTCCATATCCATGATGTGTTTACATATGAGAACCATGTTCACAGCCAAGATTGCAGTAAGAAGACAAACCTCATTGTCTCCACCCCCACTGCTGCTGAAGGAGCACAGCAGACTCTGGATCTCCTCCAAGCTGCCATATGGTCCTTGCTGAGCCTCTTTATGAACAAGGTACGTCTAATCTCCTCACTGTAAACCTCCCAGCCCTCCTGCCTGTTACAGCTCTGTAACTAATGCACCAACAGCAACTCACCTGTTCCGTTGGTATTCCTGTTCCCTAATTTGTGCATCTTTTCCTCTCTCCAGCCTCACTCAGCTCAACAATTAATGGCTGGCCAACCACTGATAGCTCTCACTTGCTGTACCATACTGAAATCAGTCTGTACATTTTAAAAGCTGAGGATTGTTCCTTCACATTTTCTTTCCGTACATATTTTGGAGTTCTAAATATGACTTGGTCACATCCTGGAATAGCAAAGTTACACTTCAGCATTAACTAAAATACAGAATTTGCATGTAGAGTAATAAAATACAGTTCTCATCCAAGACACTCGTGCACACAACTCCATTATTTAGTTTCTTTCTCTCCCTTTTTATTTTCATATCAAACCTAAGTCTTCAAAAATGGTTTTGGATGAGATGACTTGGTAAAAAGCCTTGGAATTTCTACTCCACTGTCTCAAGCTATGTAAGAGCCTGGGCAATGTAAGTACCAAGTTTAGCAGCTGATGTGACTACCTGTAAAGTGCAGCAGTTGAGATGCCAAGGGTGTGCAACAGGAGGGAAAAGCAAACCAAAACAATGGCTAAACTTCAAGGCAAAACAAGAAAAATTCCTTGGTCTGGCAGAGAAGAGCGTTCAACAGGTGTCACTAACGATGTTCTCAACATCAGTCTTTTTATGTGATGAGCTTTTTCAGTTTATACTCATAAGGACCTTGCCCACATACACAAATCTGTCTACATTTTACACTGAGGTTCTCTATAGAAGTTCGTAACACAACAGTTACACAAAAATAGAGATGTTTACCTGCAAAGCTCATAGAAAATAACACTATTTAAATTCAGTTGAAGATACATTAATATTTCCTAAAGGCCATGCAGCTTTTACTTTCTGTGAAGCAGTGGATCTGCTTTACTTCCCAACCAACAAGATTCCTGTTATCCAATTCTGAATAATGTTCTCTAACACTAAAATAAGAACTGATTAAAATCAATGGATAAGGTAGATTCAAAACTGGAAGTCCACAGTCCCCAGTTTATGCATTCTGCTTTCATCTGTCATCCTTTGGAAAATAGGGGAGAGGGGTACAAGATGAGATTATAAAATTGTATAGCATTCAATGACACCACACAACGTACTTTTACAGAGTTATCTCACACCAACTAAAGCATGACAAATTGATCTGATGATTTCTCCTGTCTCGTGACTCAACAAACCTCAAGGCAGATTAAAGCATCTGCTTTCACGGTTGGTTTTTTCCCCAGTCAAGTGTATCAATGTTAAGAGTCAGATAACTTCTTAGTAGCTTTCTTCCACCTACCAATTCACAGTCCACTGACTTCCCGAGCAAGAGACCCCAGGCTACTCCCACACAAACCATGAAGCCACAGGAAGTCATGTAGCAGTTAACACAACTGAAACAAATGACCCATATGACTTGGTTTCTAATTTGCTGTGAGAGGTTTCTCCCATGCACTCAGCTTTTAAAAGCTTCTTACTAGCTTTGTGGCTTCTCTGCTAAATAATGTTACTCATGAAACATCGTGGAAAACTTAAGGTAAATGAAAAATAACTTTTCAGAACACTGAAAGTTGGAATTTTAAGCACACAGGAACAGTACTTTTTCTACCTTTATATAGAAAACGTGTCATGTCCTCCCTTTATTGTTAGCATCGTCACCATTTTGATGTTTCATTAGAGACGGGATGATTAAATCACACTTAGAGTGTAAACTCCATTATATGACTAGAGCTTCCAAATGTCAAACATCTTCCAAAATAGGAGATTATGCACTGACTATGTACTAATTTTAAATCATTAACTTGAAAATTTGCTGCAGATTTAGAGTCCATACATTAAGGTCCTACTCAACAGGATGTTATTTCATCTAAAATATTTTACTTAAGTAATTAAAAATTCATTGAACAGTAAAATGTGCAATATGTCAAGTGCAGGTAAAGCTCACCGATTCTGAAATGATTTGCCAGCAACGTTGTCTCTGTATGAATCAAACATAACATGATACTGGTCTCTACTCCACTCCAAGACAACCTGCAAAGAAAAAAAAAACAAACAACACAAAACAACTTGATGTCACCACCTTCTAAAGTTAGACACTAATTTCTCTTTTTGAAATGTTTAACCACTATCAATCTAATTGGAATTGATCTATGCATTAATGTACAACTGACCAGATCACAATCCCAAATAAGTTGTTACACCGAGTCAGCAATCAGACCTAGAACTGAAGAGCCCACTTAATTTAAACAAACTTTGTTTTGCTTTGCATGAAAGGATTTCATGATTTACAAACACTTTTTAAACTACTATTTATTTAGGTTACCTCCCCTTTGTCTCCAAAAATTCAGGAACGTTTTCCCAAAACTGAGACCTAAATCAAGCATATTTCAATACAAGCAGATAACCCCTAACACACACACAGAGACCTGCATAGTTTTGCTCATCTTCCTTTCTATTCTCATACAGGATATATTGAAGTATACACACCTCTGAAATGTGAGCACTGCAAACAGACAGGCCAGCCCATACCAAATTAGGTGAAATGACCCAGCTACAGACTTAAAACACAGCAGTTCTTTCCAACAGAAGTAAAGTCTTACACTGCATCCCAACTAACCCAACAGTACAGTATTTCTGCAGGTTGCAGCCCCTCTTCCATCCCTGCCATCCCCCTTTAGCTTGATGTGAGTTCACCTGACCCCACAGTGAGCCAAGTCACAGCTAAATCAACAGAAAGATGAACCTTCAAAAAACCAGAGCACTTGATCTTCCTCTACTTGGTTGTTGGAGCAGATGACAAATGGTGGTGACAAACACACAGCTAATATCTTTTAAAGGGAAAGTCCAACCTTAAAAACTACAGAAGCATCTTGTGCTGTTTTAGAGAAGAAAGCACAGTGACTAATTTTACTGGGGTAAATACATATTTGTATATAGTGGATGGTAAACAAAAACAAAAACCAAACCAAACAAACAAAACCCCCAAAACAACACAAAACCAGAAAAGGATAATACTTATTTACACCACTCTTCCTAGATATAAATTTTACTAATGCTTATTTCTTGTATTATAGGAACTATGAAATATACTATTTCTCTAAGGTAGGGTTCAAAGCCATAACATAAACCTTCCTCCCTTTTCTGAGGATACACACCTCTCTACCATGATTGACAGTAAAGCAAATTAAAGCCTTCTAGAGAGCAGGGAAGCTCCATCATGTGCCTGGCTGACAAGTGCACGCACACACAACTCCTGCCAGAGCTGCAAATGGTCTCTGTAACCAAGATCACATCAGAACACTTCCATTCTCCTCACACAAAGCACATGTATTTCCCAGGTAGGCAAAAAAATCTCCTTCCTTAAATACCAAGGTCAGGAATTGTCTTAAAAACACACCATTATACTTTTTTTATGCACGAGTCATTACGTCCTTCTGCCAAATACCTGGTTTAATACAGTACACACTAAAAGATCGTATCCACGTGGAAACTTTTGCTACTACTGACAGTGATGAACTGGCACACACTGATCTGCTTCTAGAAGAAATACAGAAGTATTTGAGCAAGACTGTAATATATTATATGAATAATATGGCTCTCCAGAAGAAAAAAATAATTAACATTCAAGCCTTTGCCTTTGGCATTTGTCTAACTATAACCAGAAAGGACCGAGGGCAGATCTCTTAGAAACATATTACGAAGTTAAGCTCTTCCTACCTGATACAATTTTTTCCTGCAACTGTTTCCTCCTGACACCTTATTTGTCTTGCAACAATGCCTGGAGGCTGCCTTAATTTTAAATACTGATATTATAAAACCACAAGGGGAACATCAAAAAACAAAGGGAAGGACACCGCCTATTAGGAGATACTGTATCAGATATGTGATAACAGTGGCTCAGGCATGTTCTGGCTATAAAACTTTTTTACAAAGCTGATCAAAGTGTTCTTATAACCAAACTGTCCTAAAACTTAAAGTTCATCTTACAACTAGGTTGCAGCATTGGTTTAGACATGGCTACCTTGTACGTTTTTGGATAAATATTTCTGAATCACACCCAGTGCCCTGATATTTTATTGAGCTCAAGTTTTTACTTGAAATGAAGCTCATTTTCAGCTTCTGGCTGCACAGATATCGTTACCAATCTCAAATTATTTGCCCTAACCATCCATTTTTACTTCACTGATATTACTGATATTAGCATGAATCTAAGAAATCAGACCTAATATTGCCTACTAGGACAAAAAGCTGGCTCTGGGGGTGGGGGAAAAGCAGAACTGAAGATGCTGCTCAGACACCAGGGTCTGATAAGCACTGCCTCACACTGCTTTTTATTGCTTGAGTTCACCACAGATGGCTAAAAATGGTTGAGTCGTTCATTTCTAGAAAGACTTCTTGGTTTCATTTTCCAAACTGTTTTATAATTTTTATTAGCTGCTGCCTTACAGACTCTGTATGGGAGAAGTGTTTTACATTCCCACTATTGTTGCCAGAAGACTTTAACAGTGTTCGTTCTCACAAGCCTAGTCTCCCTATTGAACTACCACTGTTTACCAACGTACAAAGGCAAAAAGCAAAATGCATGCAAACATATCTTATCCAGGCTAATTTACCATCATTATGGGAAGAAAAAAAAAAAAAAGTTTTATGTATTCCTGTATGGCCATTCTATAAAGGGTGCAGGTTTTGTTGGTGTTTTAGCTTGGTTTTGTTTATTGGTTTTGTTTCTTTTTAAACATTGCTAGTTACTTTTCTTTTTTCTTAACGTATAATTTGGAAAATCTACTCTTACATGAATTTACCAGTTCTTTTGCTCACTGCCTAAACAGTATCTAAGCTTTCCAAATAGCTTTAAAGGGGTTGGAAGCATCAAAGTTAGTAAGAACATAATTCTGAGCAGTGATTTCAACTTATGCTCACCAAAATCAACAAAAACTTGGACAACTACTGAGGCAATTTTAAAAACCTTCAAAGTTCTATGGTATCCTAAAGTTGGGTTTAAGTCCCCATTCTGAAGAGATGCAAAACTATACTCAGTTTCACAGCACCAAACTAAGTTGATAATCATGTACAGACAGATGCCTAAGAGTACTATATAATTACTTAATTTGCTGATGGCTTTGAAGTGTCCTGGGAACTTGTGAACCCTGCAAGAAAGCAGAGATGAAGTACTTTATGTAAAGAAGATGTACTGATACAAAAAATAAAGTTCCAGTTGTGGCACACTCTACAGTTTCAGATAATACTCCTTATGGCTCTTCTTTTTTCCCTCTGTATCTGAAAGAGTCAATCAAAATAAAACAGAGAAGAAACAAAAGAAGGAGGAAAGAAAAGAGGAAAAAAAAAAAAAGAGAACAACTTAGGAATCAGGAAATTCCAGT